ACCTAGCCTCCCTCTGTCTCATAGGAACCTGAAGCCCATATTCATTCAGGAAAGTTCCATCACAAGAGAGATGTGAAAGGACTTGTATGGCCACGGTCGCGAGTTATAGCAGTGGTAAAGGCTCAGGCTATCCTAGTGTATTAGAACTCAGAGCGTCTAGCCACCAGCTGTGACCTCCTGGAGACAGATGGCTCTTCAGTCACAGAGACGAGAAGTTGAACTTGCTCAGTGTGGCTTGGAGGCAGAAGTTGCAGATAAAGAGATGTGTGCCTAATATAGGTGCAGAGTTCTGGTTAATCGCAGCTACCTTGAAGTAGAATAATATGCTTCGCTAGGTCAGGTTGGCAATCAACACTAGGTGTAGCTGAAAAATAGAAATGACGCTGGAGCCTAGACTGGCCTTCTGTCACAGAGTTTTCAAAGGGCTTATGGCCAACCACTTCTCTGGGACACCCCGGCAGCCGAGTGTAGGCCCAGGCTGAGTCCTAGCTCCCTGCGTATGAGCAGGAGCTCAGCAGCTTCCTACTCTTTGCCTGCCCAGCTCTCTCTTTCACTGCTGGTCAAAATGAGGAGGGGAGGGAGGCAAGTCAATAAGCTTTACTTGCACAAAAAATATCGAATCTATAGTGTGTGGCAGAGTAGCACGAGAAACCAGAGGGTTCCTGCCTGATCTTGGTCCATGGCAGGAGAAGACGCCTACTTAAGTAGATCATCTATAGCTAAGCTGTCTTGTTAGTGACTTTGTTAACATCTCATTCTATTTCTTAGTGATGTCACATGAATAGATCACCAAGAGCACATAGAATTTAGACAGTTGTTTTTGTATTTTTATGCCCTCCTCCCAAGTTTATTTTCTCTTCCCCAAGCCACCCATCATAAGACTCCCCAAACACAGTCAAACACAAGCACTCCATTTTGTCAAGGGGCTTGTTTTCAGTCCCAAGTTTCTAGAGGGACAGGCACTGCTGACCTCCTGTGTATCTAGCAGGCTCACAAATCCCCTTCATGGCTTTTGTGAACCATCCACCAGCCATTCACAAATGATAAGGGATTTTACAGTCCTATGCAGGGCTAGCTGAACATAAGGGCTGTTTAGAAAAGCTGATGCTTTATATAACCATGATAACCTCTGCTCATTTTTCCAAAAGTGGATAATCCAGATGGGCTCCAGTCAAGTTGAAGGTTCAGATAACACCAATGCGTTTTGGGGCACCAAATGCATCATGAATAAGCCACAGTTTTGTTTTGGTCAGAACCCACATAGCCATAGTATTCTAGCTGATTAAATTTGTCTCTGAAAAATAAAGCAGTTGAGCTAATGATAAGCGTGTCTCGCCTTTGTGGAACTGAAACCAGTGATGCATATAGCCATGACTGGGTCCCATACACCCCAAATTCCATCTCCCAATCATGTTTTCCCTCTTCTAATGCCCTTATCCCAAACTCCTAATTATACAAAATTTTAAACATTCTTCAAGATTTAGCTTTATAATTTTCTTCCCTTTGATCCGCGCTTTAACTCCTAAAGTATATTATTCAGAAAGTAATAGAATCGCCAACAATGGCTCCATCTTTCACACTTGCTCACAGTCATGGCCTCTGTGTCTTAAGTTTTCCTTGTAGCCCTTCATTTACTGATCTCTAATAGATTCTAATAAGTAGATCTGAAATAAGGATAATTAAAAGATATGGATCACACAGCTTGCAGCGGTATGCAAATGGTCAATGAAGAACAGAACAGAAATCGGCCTCCCTGCTGATTAAAGACAATTGAAGAGGAAGAATGAGCTGAGCTTTTCTGCAGGTCTTTCAAAGGGAAAGTGATTATGAATGTGGGGCTTTATCAGGAGAGCTCATGACATTGAGCTCAGAGGTCCCTGTTTCATTTCACAACTGCATAATTTGGAAATGATTAAGAACAGCTCTTTCTCAACATTTTCTAATCAGGGGCCAACTAAAAACATCACATTGATTTCTCCAGCCCATCCTTCTTGAATGTGCTCATATGAAACACATTTTAAACCACCTCAGCTCTCGAGTTTTAGCTCCATTAAATTTCTGTCAACACATTCTTCTTTTTGTGGAAATAGAAAGACAATTACACGTTTTGAACTCTACTACCAACAAAGAAAAAAAAAAAAAAAGCCCTAAAGTGCAAAGCTCACAAACCATTCAGTAAATAGCTGGAGGGTGTCCCAAAGCAGAGGAGCGGAAGTGTCTCCTGGAGCTTGGAACTACCAGCTTCACCTCAATTTACCAGGTGATCATCATGTCTGCCCACTGCTCAGCTGGATGTCTGCCCACTGCTAAGCTGGATGTCTGCCCACTGCCCAGCTCCACCCTGTCTGTCCACTGCTTAGCTCAATGACCTTTTCTGAGGGAGATTTCACTTGGCTTCTGGACGAGCCCAAGAAAGGAGCTGAGCAGAGACCATGGGGGTCAGAATTTCATGCAAAACAGGATAGAACCCCCAAACACTCTCTCACTTTTAAAAGGAAAATATTTAGAAACGTTTATCACCAATCTGGAATAGTCCCCTAACTCGTAATGTTACGATCTCTGCGTCAAATTAAGCATGCCATGTCTAGAAGCACAGGAAAACTTGGAAAGAGAAATGCAGAAGTTAAATTTTATAAACTTAAAGTGTAAAGAACTCGGTGTTTAAGGGAAGAAGAAGGTCCCGTGGGGAAATCTGAAAATAGACTAAGACACAGGAGGACCAGGGATTGAATATTTTACCTTCCCCCACAGGCTTAGACAAAGACAGAATGTGCCTCTGGAAAGATGGATCTCAAGCCTTCTGATGTGAGACATGGTGTGACCTCATATCCCTGCCCAAGGAGCTGGCGGCATGGCATGCAGGGGCTGGTGGCTAGGGATGCACACAGCGGGCGCTGGCTTTCTCAGCAGGAGCGTCTTTGGCTGTGGTAGAAGGAAGCCACCCCTCTTTCCCAGCCCAGCTTTTCCTTTCTAAACCCTGGTGTCCTTTGTGTGTTTATGATGTACCCCACCTCTACTTACTAATGAAATTTTAATTCTCCACACTTGCTCACATAGGAATAGCAAAAACAAAACAGTCCCTGGAAGACATTGTTAAGAATGCCTGCCTGACCCCCAGCTCCTAAAGTTCTTCAGTAGAACTCAGCCATGATGTGCAGAGCCAACATCTCTAGAAGTGGTGTGGTGATATTTTATTTGTATGTTAATAAATAAAGTTTGCCTGGAGAGCGGAGGAAATAGCAAGCTCTTTCAAGTAAACACAGAAATCAGGCAGTGGTAGCACACGCCCTTAATCCAATCACTTGGCAGGCAGGGTCTCTGTGTGTTCAAGGCCATACTAGGGAACAGAGCCAAGCAGTGGTGACACATGCCTTTAATCCCAGTACCAACCATAGAGACCTGGAGGTCTGTATAGACAGGCAGTGACAAGGAAGTGAGGTAGCTGGGCTAAGAGCCAATGAGAGGGCAGAACAGCAAGGCAATAAGGGCGCAGGTAGATAGGAAGTAACTCACTTTGGAAGCTATAGTGTGGTAAGCTAAGGTTAGCTGGTGGCTATTCCTATTTCCCTGATCTCTAAGGCTTTCACCCCTAAATTTGGCTCCGTGTTTTTTATTTAACAAGACCACTTAGAAATTTGTCTACAAAGTGGTACTCTTTAGGTTTTAGTTTTGAACCACATTTAGAGTGAAGATGCTTTTAAATGCAAACTATGAATTCCTGCTTGCCCCACAAGTACACAGAATGAATGCCAAGCTTCCTGTGGTTTACAGAGGTCAGGGAGACCTTCATCTCCATCCTCTGGGCAGCCATGTGCTAAGGCCATCAGGGCCGCTACTGTATCTTGTAGGTAATTTTTTTTCAGCTGCCATATTGTTTGACTCTCTCAATTGCTCTTGAGCCATTTATTTTTCCTATGTCTCCTCTGTAATTACTTGTTCAAATTTGTTGATACTTTCTAATTTTTTTTCTAAATCTCTAAATTTATGACTTTTTGGTCTACTTTGGAATACATGAGCTCTAGAAAAAAGTAGTACTTTTCTCTAATAAAGTGAATTAGTATTATTCAAAATATTGTATCAGGCATTTCAAAAAAGTAGGTGGGTGAATCTTGAATTTTTTTTACCATAAAGAATGATATATGATTAAGAGAATGGATGAGGTAAATATCTTGAGTGACCCATAACCAATGGATACATGTATTGAACCAGTATGTTGTACTCTATAAATAAGTATATGTATTATGTGTTAATTAAAAATGGAAGAGGAGGATGGAGAGGTGTCTCAGTGGTTCAAATCACTCTTTACTCTTCAAAGGACCTTGGTTCTTTTTCTAGCACCCACATGGAGGCTCACAATCTCCTGTAAATCTAGATTCAGGGGATTTGATGTCTTCTGACCTCTGTGATATCCTACATCCATGTGGCATTCATACATACACTCAGGCACATACAGAAACACTCACACATAAAATAAACAAATGAATAAGCAAATGAATATTTGAAAATAAAAGAAATCATAGGGCCAGTGAGATGGCTCAGCAGGCAAAGCTTTTTGCCAAGCAAGTCCTGAGACGTGTGCTCAGTTCTTGGAACCTACATAAAGGTGGAAGAGGGAACCGACCCTACGGGTTGTTCTCTTATCTCCACATGTACACCATGGCATATGTGTCCATATACATCACACACACGCTAGTAATAACGATGATGACAAATACAAATAATTGAAAAGAAATTATAGGCTCTGAGGGAATCAAAAAGATGATATGGTATAAGATTGTGTAAGTTTGGATCTGTTTAGTCAAGAAGGCTCACATTTTGGTATCTTGGTATACGGACAGAAACTTTCTCTTCTCTTGTTTCAGCTACCAAGGCTTTCGGACAAACACCCACTATATCTGGGATGCTTCTTATTATGGTCATATTTGGCGCCCTTGGGCCTGAAACCTGTGAGCTCAGGAGCCTCAGGTTAAAAAAAAAAAAAAAAAAAAAGCCATCCTTACCTTTTTGTACAGACTCCTCAGATCTCGATACTGCCACATGCTGTTGAGGACCTGAGATGCAGCCTTGACCACCTTTGGAGAGTGCCTGATAAAGAAAAGACAGAAAATGCACATGATGAATGCCATGTTGGTTTGGAACCACACTGTCTTGTCAGGAAACATCAAAGTCTACATCGTCTTGGTTTTTCTCTTCAGTACAGTCCTGTTTTCCTAGTCCCCATTCTTCTCAATGACATATCTGGAAGACGACGGCAGGAAGGCACCAGAGTTTGGCAAAGAAATGCCAAAAACACAACCAGCAGAACCGTGACATTTAGGGAGAAAGCATATATAGTCTCCAATAATATAAAATGGAAGAGAAATATGAAAAAAAAAAAGTGATTCAGTAGCACTGACTGAATCTAGGAATTTTTATAGCAGTAGTAAGAGAAACGGAGACACCCATATCCCCAGGGCACAAATGCAGGTATGGGGCCCGGCACACTGACCTGTGTGAAGACAGGCAATTGCTTCTTGTTGCCTGTGGCTGCTAAGCAAAAGCAAACACACACACACACACACACACACACACACACACACGTTACCATGGATACCTAAGAATGCCCATGAACAAGAATCTAACAAGCCCCGTGGTAATTGTTATGAAGACACAACTCTCACCTTTGGTCAATGCCAATCTGCATGTTAAAACAGAGACTAGGTCAGTATAGCCATATTGATTTAATCCCATCAGATTCTTGTGTAGCATTAATTTTAAAAGGTCTTATTAATAAAAACAAACCTGGAGCCAGGTATTGGGGTGAATGCTGGAAGATCAGAGAAGCAGAACAAGCCACAGCCACCTCACCTTGCCAATTTCTCAGCTGATCCTGTTGCCTCAGACTGGAAGCCTCTGAGTCCTCATCCAGAATGAATCTCAGATGAACTGCTGCTAAAAAGCCTAAAAGCTTAACCAGGCCTAGTTCCTTGTCCTCATGTCTTAAATACCTATCCGCTTCCTGCCATCACTTCCTGGGATTAAAGGCTCTTGTCACCATGCCTGGCTGTTTCCAGTGTGGCTTTGAACTCACAGAGATCCAGACGGATCTCTGCCTCTGGAATGCTAGGATTAAAGGCGTGTGTGCCACCATTTTCTGGCCTCTATATCTAGTGGCTGTTCTGTTCTCTGTCCCCAGATAAGTTGATTAGGGTGCACAATATTTTGGGGAACACACTATGCCCACATTCTTGAAAGTCACTTTGACTAGTGCTTGGCTTAGAGGAGGTACTAACTACTTGCAGACACTTAATTCTAAAAATGGTTTCACCACCAGCTGCACAATGTGAGTGGCAACCACTGAAATGGTCTACCTCAGGGGCCAGGTCACTTTTTCTGTAAGGAGTACGATAGTTTGCAGAGGGCGTATGCTTGTTGGTCACAGTTACTCAATTAACTGTCACTAGCAAGAAGAATGTGGCTGTGTTTCCGTACATACAACACTATATGTGCACCAAACAAGAAGAAGGTATAATCTGGGCTGTGGGCTCCAGTTGTGGGTCTGTGGTCCCTGGGACTACTGGTGTTGGCCAGGATGTTACAAGTAATGAGGCCTTTAAAGCAATGGATAGTCCAGAAACTGACTGGTATGGTTGACAGGTCCACTGAAAACAGTCTCTGAAGTGGGACCAAAAATGTCTTTGGCTCTTACTACCTTTCTGTCCGCTCTTCCTAAAGAGGCAGAGGACCAGGACACCTGCTTCTGGATAGGGTGCCATATCAGTGAAACGTACCCATGTACATTTCATTGTACCCATGAAATCTCAACAACATGGCGACCAAAGCTAGACCTGCACAAATGCCAACACCAGTTGACAAGCCAGTGTGGATGGGGCGGCGTCTCATAGGGTCCCACCCCTCCATGAAGGGCTGTAGGCAACTCATGGCTGCTGAGAGACAGTGAGTCAGTTTTTGTCGGGAGCAAGTTCCCTGGTAAGTTCTCCATTCCCCCACCTGGTCAGCCCTAAACATGGACATAAGAGCGACCCTAAATGGATGCAGATCACACATCCAAACCCTCTCTCTCTCTCTCTCTCTCTCTCTCTCTCACACACACTCTCTCTCTCTCTCTCTCTCTCTCTCTCTCTCTCTCTCTCTCACACACACACACACACACACACACACACACACACACACACACACACACATACTCTCTCTCTCTCTCTCACATACACACACACACACACACACACACACACACACACACACGTAACAATAAAAATTATAGGAGTCTTAAGAGATCATGAATTTAGCCGGGCGGTGGTGGCGCACGCCTTTAATCCCAGCACTCGGGAGGCAGAGCCAGGCGGATCTCTGTGAGTTCGAGGCCAGCCTGGGCTACCAAGTGAGTTCCAGGAAAGGCGCAAAGCTACACAGAGAAACCCTGTCTCGAAAAACCAAAAAAAAAAAAAAAAAAAAAAAAAAAAAGAGATCATGAATTTGAGAGGGGGTTGCAGGGATTGGGAGTTTGGAAGAGGGAGAGGGAGGGTGGAATTGTACAAACTCATGTATGAAATTCTCAAAACATTAAATAAAAATATATATTTGAAATTTAAAAAGGCCTTTGAAATGCAAAGGAAGCAGATGGTAGATGGGCTGGGGTGGGCTTGGATTTGAGAGCTGAAATAAATGAACGTTTATGACAGGCCTTCTCTAATGAAATCATGGAATGTCAGGACATGTGGATAGCATGGCTGCTGCTTTTCTGGGTCTTTATGTTTCTAATTTATGTGAGCTGAGGTTAGAGCCTCTCCATCCATTTACTGAAGAGCAAGTGACAGCTACCTGTTTCTGAGAAACAATCCAACTGCAGCTGTACTGTAACAAAAAACCAAGGTCCTAGGAACTCCACTTTTCTCCCTAAAACATTAGCTACAACAAGGTAGCATTTATTTTATTTCACTAAAATAAATGGATGTTTAATTATTCTATAATTTATGGTAGTATCACGCTCCAGTTATAGTTTGAAATTCCTGTAACTTAGAGAGAAATTTAAACCTTTTCATGGCCTTGTATGATCAAGGTTACACAAAGACTAAATGCTCTTGTGTTTCACCCCTGGATATTTGTCTCTGGCAATGCCCAGGCAACCCTGGAGGAACATTATTAGCATTCAGGTGGTGGTGGTGTGGCTGACACACTTAGCATGAAAAATTCCTCTGACACAGTGTAATTTGTTTTGTTGTTTCAACTTCTTGCTTAGTTACAAAATAGAGACTGTATGAAAAGCAGTTTAGCCTCTCAATTAAAATGCCAGTGTGGCAGGGTGTAACAATAACACGAAGGTCAAAAGGAACACTGCCATCTTCTTAGTCTTTACTTTGGTTCCTGCCACTAGACTGATGTCATAAAAATATCTGCTTGAAAAGCTGTAGCTATCAACTGAAGGACTAGAACAATTCAATGTTCCTAAGTGATTATAACCCGAGCCAGAGCACACAGCTCTTGACTGACAAGTAACAGTTCAGACTGTTAATAGCTTCTCTGCCTTATAATAAACACAACGACACATTCAACACGATTTCCCATATAACTGTTGAAATCATGAAAATGGATATCAGGGACATGACAGAATGTCTGTAATGTGTGTTTAAAAATTGTATGAAAACAGTAAGTCATCAGACTTTAAAACAGTGTACATTCGGCTCCTGTAAGTGTTGATAACAATTACATAGTGCTTTGATCTTCGTGGGAGCTGTCAAATCAGGGGTGGCTGAAGATGTCTGATGGTGCAATTCCTAATGGAGTACCCATGGTACATCCCAGAGTACCAGTCGCCTTGAATGTCTTCCCAGTACCATAGGGGTGCGGTTCCAATGCACTGTGGTGCCTTACAAGTCTGATTTGTTCATATCACTACATGGTTAGGCTTGCTCATACTTAGAAGTCAAAGGTTACAAATATTTAAACCCTGAGGACCACAGCTAGGCATACGTGCGTTTTCTTCTGTGTTTTTGTTTGTTTACTTTGTCATGTGTGTTCCTATGCTGTTACAAATAAAATCGGATTTGAACTGAACGCAGTTCTAGGAGCGAGTTTTTAAGAGCAATTTAGTGTGGGCATATTTGTAATAGTTATATAGGATAGCCGGAATGAACCGGTATTTATACTGTGTTATTGGCTCCCCAGCTCAAAAGTTCTACTCCTGAAAAGGTTTTCTGATTTGTTAAAACACACCGAGAGGTTCAAGGGAATCTTAATGTTGGCCGTCACCACAGGACTGAGCAACAAATAAGGAGTGGCATGCTAAGAATCAGAGCAATTCTCCTGGACTTGTTTGATTTCAAAAGCAGTGAAAAGCAATTATAAACTAAAGTGTAGGTAAGAAACGAGAAGTTATAAAAACCTTGATTTGACCCTCCAACTATTCAGTATATTCATATACAAAAGAGATAAACCACATGAAAAACAGAAAGGCCAACTCAGCGTGAGAACTATAATTGTAAGAGACCTGATTCAGTTCAATTTAACACTTGTTATTAAAATCACAACTCCAGGCTGTTGACAAAGAAAAAAAAAAAGATAAGGAATGATTTGATGAAATGAGTGACTGTCCATGAAGAAATATTTAGTCAAATTAAAGGACACTTGTGAGATCACCTACAGATGAAAAACATCTGCCCCTTTTAACAATCAAGTCTGGACCACACCTTACAGGGCAATTTAGTAGGTCACCAATGAGGAGTCACATTGTTTCATGGGTGATTTCTCCAAAAAGACTTTAAAATAGTTTCACCAACTAGTTTTCTTTGGCCATAAGACTGACCACAGCATCTTTTCTAAACTCAGACAACCGAAAGGACTTGATAGATGCCCAACCATCTACTCCCAGATTTCTTGTCCTTAAATTCAGAGAATGTACTTTAACCTTGGGATGTCTCATAAATACAGCAAATAGAGTGCTCCTGTCAACTGTGGTTTTATTGTTTCTTTAAGTGTGTATGCTTTAAAAAAAAAAAAAACAGTAACAACAATAATATACTGGGCTCACAATGCCCAAGGCAAGTAAGCATTTCTTTTCCTTGAGACCCACAGGTCTGCTGAAACTACATGAAGAAAACTACATAACTTCCTACCTGTGAACTAGGGTGTTTTATTTTCAGACAGAACATCACGAGTTGTATATAATTCAAGTCCCAAATCTACATTGCACAATTGCCCAAGTCCAATGGGCTTCGCTCCTTGACACAAGAACATATTCAAATCTAATGTTGAATTGCTGAATGGACCTATTTAAGAATCTCAGGGTATTTAAAAACCTCCCCCGAAACTTTTAGAACACATTGCCAATAACCCGAGTTAAATGAAATAATGAGACAGAGTTTCCAGAGAGTCTCAAAGAGCATACCTCACCCTCTCCAATAACAAAAGAAAAATTAATTATTTAGCATTTAGGTGTAAAGGAATGGGAGGCAGGGAATGAAACGGCAAGAAGTCGGCGGGCCCTTGATAATAAAAAGTTTACCCATTTAATCTTCTTTGATTACACCGAGGGACTTCCAGAAGACAAAATTTAATTAAGGGTAGTGAAGGTTTCTGTAAAGGTTGATATACTAGCTGATACACTAACATCCTGGCTGATGAAGTTTTTTTTTTTTTTTAGTTGCATACAGTAAGATCCCCTTGATTCTTAAATCACAGGGAACATTCCCACATATGGAGGAGGTGCAATGGCTTGGAGACCAATTTGCTTCTTCTTCTTCTTTTTTTAAATTGAATTTTACATATCAGCTACGGATTCCCCTGTCCTCCCTCCTCCAGCCCTCCCCCCCCACCCTCCCCCCAGCTCACCTCCCATTCCCATCTCCTCCAGGGCAAGGACTCCCCTGGGGATTCAGCTCAGCCTGGTAGATTCAATGGAGGCAGGTCCAGTCCCCTCCTCTGGGGCCTATGCAAGCTGCTTCTTTTTGTTCCATTTGGCTGGAAGCCCTTCTTTGCACTCTCCTCTCTGCCTGGCGAATTTCGACTTATCTTTTCAGGTTTGATGATCCCTGATTCCAGGAAGGGTATCAGGACAGGCCTGCCTTCAGTTTTAGGTTAGAAAGCTAGGGCACAGTAACTTGTTAAATTACATTACCTGCCCAGAATCTCACAGCGAGTAAAGGAGAAGGCTAGATTCGAATTTAGTTCTCTCTGACTCCGTAGGAAGGACACAGCGAGAAAACTCCCATGTGATGACTTGGAACACAGAACCAAAGGACATGGGTCCATTGATACAGGGACTTGCAACCACAGAGGAGGCTCAACAGCAGGAAGACAAAGGCACGTGTGCAGGCTAAGCTGGTTGGCTGCCCTGTGAAGGAACTCTGATTGCGGGTGGGACGTGAAGTCTTCCTTAGCAATGCAAAGACAATGCCACCCCTGACTTACTCCAGGGCAAAGACAATGCCGCCCCTAACTTCAACGCACAGACAATACCACCCCTGACATCAATGCACAGACAATGCTGCCCCGACTTACTTATCTCCTTTGCTTTTGGAGATGCCGACCAACTTCTCGATGCCACCGGCATCCCGTAAGGCCTTGGCGTTCTCCATGTTCTTGGTGATCACTTCGTGCAGGGTGCAGCACACGGCCGTCACGGTGTCGTCTGACATGGCCTTGCTCCCTGCATTGTTACTGTTGTTCCCTCCGGGAAGCCGGTGGACCAGGTCTCGCATGGCGTATTTGCCTTTAGAGAAGAAAAGGGAGGGGACAGTTTAGGAATGGTGAAGGCAGAAGAAGAGGGAACAGTGGAGAGATGGGAACAGAGGAGAAACAAGGATGCAAGAAGGCACTGTGTGTCAATCAAATACACACACAGAAGGCACAGTACGGCTGCCCAGTGTCCACTGGGTCCAGGACCTCCTCACCACCACACTGTAGATACCCAAATCTATGGAAGCCCAGGTCTCACATAAAGTAGCACATACGCATCCTTCCTCATACTTTCAATCACTTCTCCATCACTTCTTTTACTCAACCCAACATAAATGCTGTGTACGACTAAATGATGTCATATGACTAAAAAGAAAAACTCTGCATGTGACTAATGTACATGAATATTAATCAAATACTTTTGATATGCAGGTGGATGAATCCTGGCTGAGGAATATACAGTACAGAGAACCAACTGTACTTGCTCATGGCAAAGGCCAAGGGTCTGGTAGTCCATAGATGTAGGATTGGGTGTCTTTGGGAGTGACTTTATGGCTCTAACCTTCAGTGATTTCAGTTTTAAAAGCAAGAACAATAATGATACAAAATCTGTAAGATTATTTAAAAGATGAAATGGGGAAACCCATGGGAAGCATTTATTCCATGATTAAGAAAGGCCACAGCCTCAAGAGATGTCATGTTGATATCCACAGAAGTAAATAAAATGTATGGTGGTTGATACAACCTTATGAACTTAGATTGGGATCTGTATAATTTAACAGCAGTTGAATCACTAGCAGGGGAGGCGACCTTGACAAATCGTCTAATGTGGTGTACTGTGGTAACCTTGTCTCTCCAATGAGCTTTTATTGTGTGATTCTGTAATACAGCATTTACCAACCTGGCACAGTTTTCTTTGTGTGAAAAATGAATAAAACCCAACTTTGCTTACTGAATTCACTTTATCATTACCTGTCTTGCCTCTCCCAATGATAAAGGTACCTACAGTGACAGATTTATGGAGTGTTTTTAGAATACAAAGCACTTTAGACATTACCAACAGCCCAGCAAGACAATTAATGCATCCCACCCGTTGCTTCCAATTCTGTTCCTTTAATTTACTTCGGGAAGTAAACAAGCAGCAAAGTTGGCTGTCCCTAAAATTCTTTTCGGTGGAATTGGCAAGTGTTCCAAGTTAGGTCTTTTACATACCTCCCACCCCCAAACTAGACATATGTAGCCAGCTTCTAATAGTTACAGGAAACACTTTACCTGCAACAGACCTCTAAATGGCACCTTCTTCTGCTGATAAATTGTCTAGTGTGTGGCAGCATGGGGCAGGAGAAAGAACCCCATGGGAATAGGCAGTATCTTAGCTCCAGGCAGTAATAAATAAAACATAGGGCTCTGTAATATGATATTTTGATATCTGTTCTTATCCTTATTTTAGTGGCTTATTTTAGCTTGGACAGAAAATGCTGATGTTTAAATTACGGAAATAGAAGAGTGTCTGCATTCGGTTGATGACAGGAGAGGAAGCGTCTGACAGAAGTGCTTTGACTTGAAAACCCCCAAATGGGGCATATTTATTGTCTAATGACAGCATTCAAAGTGGTTCGGAGAGGATGCTTTGTGCGTGGATAGTTAGTCCTCGCAGCAAATTGCTTGATATATTTATCGTTAAATCAACTCAACTCTGACGAAGAGCTTGCTTCTGTTGAGTTCAGCACGCCTGTGGTTCTATCATAAGCCACCGGAAGGAAGACAAATCTGCCAACCACCAATGTGAGGAGACGGACATGTCCTTTCCTCCCTGCCTCTGGAAGGGAAGTGATGCAGGATGTTCTGACGACAGGATTGAGAGACACTTCAACCATTGAGCATTTGGGACATTCACACTGTGAGTGTGGGAGACTGGTCTTGTGACCTTAATATTCTCCTGGTTGAAAGCAAATATGTTGAGAAGAGACTTACCTGTGGAATTTCTTAGTCTCTAAGTAATTAAGTAAATAAATAAACCTATGTCAGGTAATAGTGAACGTGTGGTTTCTTTATAGCCTCCCAATCTGTAAGGCCTAAAGGAGACACAACTGATTGTGTAATGTTCACAATTCATGGAAACCACCCCACTATCAAGAAGCTATCCATTCAACCCTGTGTGCCAGGCCATGTGCCCAACATGCAAAGGACCAGGAGTTACCACTGCTGAGAACTCATTGGAACTCTTTTGTTTCCAATATGTCACCGACAGCACACGAATGCTTTATTGGACAGCTAGGGCTTTTTCTCAAGTTATCAGAGCCTATATTTTCACTAGCTGAGTGAAGAAAGCAATCAAGCGTAATTATTCCCAGATAGAAGACCTCTTGGCTGACTTTGTTGAGTCCTTTAAGAACATAATGTTCTTTTTCAATGTCTTCGTTAGTGTGTTTCAAAAAAAAAAAAAGAAAACAAATGAACACGTCTTCTCACACCTGAATTTGAACACTTTTAGCAAAGGAAAATTGGGCAGTAGGGAAAACATTTCAGCTCTTTCTGGTGTTTGGAAACTTTGAGGCTAATTGAAGAGGGGAAGGGAAATATGGTCCACAGGATGATGATAGCCACAAGCGATTGTGCTCTGGGCTTATTGGGGAAGATGAAAAATTGGTTTGGCTTGGGGTGGTTGTGGAAGGCTTCACATAGGAGGTGGACAGTCAGTTGAGATAACTCTGTAGGTTGGGGGAGGGGTAAGATCCAGCTGCTATTTTATAAAGAACATGCTGATACATTAAGAGCTTCATGAGATTCAAAGGAGGAACAATGCAGTCTTTTTCTGACCTGGGTTTTTGCAGTTTTGACTTGTCAGCACAACTCAAGGTAGCTGGCTGCTAACTGCTCCACACCCCACAGCTGCTTTCACCCCTTAGTCTGAACGCTAGAAAAAGCGAGTCTTGTTATGCAGTAAGAATCTTGGTCCCCTTTTCCTCTCCAACCCCAGGTCATTCTTTAGGGTCCCTGAGGTCTGAGACGTCTTTGCAAGTGAAAGGCAGTTAATTCCATTTTTGTGTCTGAAGCCCTGAGGCAAGGCTAAAAGGTGAGGGGGTGTCTTAGTTAGGTTTTTATTGCTGTGAAGAGACACCATGAGCATGGCAACTCTTATAAAGAAAACATGTAATTGAGTCGCTCCCTTACAGTTTCAGAGGGTCAATCCATTATGATCATGAAGGGAAGCATGGTGGCATGGAGGCAGACGTGGTGCTGGAGCTGAGAGTGCTACATCTTGCAGGCAACAGGAAGTCAACTGTGACACTGGGTGGTATCCTGAGCATAGGAAACCTTAAAGCCCGCCCACATAGTGACACATTTCCTCCAACAAGGCCATACTCACTCCAACAAAGCCACACCTCCTAATAGTGCCATTCCATATGAGCTTATGGGGGCTGAATACATTCAAACTCCCACAGTGGGTTAAACTTACTTTCACAGTTTAATACGATTAAGGTGACCAAATTGTTCATTTCTTTTCTCTTTAGTGATAGAATAGGATGGAGAATGGTTCCATGGCCAAGGGTTGGGAGAGAGGGTGGGACAGCAGGTAGAGATTGCCTTTCTAGAAACTGCAAGGTAAGCAGTTTGGAAGAACTGCATGTGGGGCCCAATAGCATGGACTGGCTTAGGTAAACTGTTAAGTCCATTTGCGTTTGTGTACATAATGTGACATCGTTAATATATGTGCTCTGTTGTAATATATATTATAATAAAAGGACTAAAGAGTCCAATGAAAGTACAGTCTCAGATCACTTTAATGCTGTCTTCTTTACCAAAGTGAAATGCAAAAATGTTTAGCAATGAGTGAATTACATCATAAGTCCTATGTGAAACATGAGAATCAAAGGATAACAAGTTGTTAGGTTGGCTAAGGCAAAGGGGCCATATTACTTTAAAGACTTAAAGAAGTTCCAATATTCCGCACCTAAGGTACAAAGAGTCCATGTATTTGCAGGCTTATTGTTTACTGGGATCTAATCTATGCAAGATCCCATTTATGTCTTCATTTGAGAACTAGTATAGACATTGTAAATGTCCACTTAAGCTGGCATTGTTTATTTAAAATGGTACAAACTAAAAGAGCATTTAACTAGGTTGAGATTTCATGACTGGTGTTTTACAAAATATTTTTTTGTTAGTAAAAATAATTGTGTAGATTCTGTGAACAGGCTTATTCCATTCAACATATTTTGATGCCCTGTTTTTTGTTTTTGACAAGATTTGGATCACTAAAGACTTGTGCACATAATGCCCACACACTTGATAATGGAGAACCAGGTTGCCCTTGGTATGCACATTCGTGTTGCCCCTCAGGAAGTGTAAAAAGGGTATGTGTCCTTGAAGGAGGCAGCGCCTTTCAAATCTGGTGACCATGGGCAGCCTTCCTGGATTCTGGTTGGTCTCTTGGAATACCGACTCAGGTGCCTGTTTCCTAGCCTTCTCTCAGCTGGTGGGCAAAAAGAACACGGAGAAAATGCTATCATTGAATGTTTTAGTTCAATATTTGCCAAAGGAACCTTGCACACACACACATACAAAAAAAAAAAAAAAAAAAAAAAGGAAAAGAATAGAAAAATTCCTAACACTGGGTGAGGTGATTTTGCTATTGTTGTTGTTACTGTTTTATTTTAAACATTATCACTCTGAACCAAGCCAGATTTATATATCTATATCTATCTATCTATCTATCTATCTATCTATCTATCTATCTATCTATCTTGCCTTTAGTCACTCAGGATTAACTTTCATGTCTTGTGTCCTTTAAGAACTGTTTTTGAAACTGCCTTCCCCAAATCCACACCCCATAAAATGTAAATAAATAAATAAATAAAGTAAAAAAAAATGTAAACCATTTTTGGATTTTCCCAGACACCAAAAAGTATGTTCTCTTCTACCTTAGAAAATATGGGATGCAAAACTTTAGATATGCACAGCATTATGTAGATTTTTTTATATGCCTTAATATTTGTGGTGATAACTGTCCTGTTTATCAAGAATCTGACA